CCCTTTGCAAGAGGGAACAGGAAAGGATATTATCTGGGTAGACATTCCCCCTCACTCTCTGATCTTCCTCAAATTGAAAAACGCCTCAGCTCTTTCTCTTCAGACCCTCTTAACTAGCAGCCATCTTCTCCCCTATCCCTGAGAGCCCAAATCCTGAGAATGTGTGCTCCAAAACAGCCTTTCCATTTAACACTCAATCTCAGGCCACCCAAAGACTGCCTTCCTCAACAGCCTCTTCTATTTCTGTGCCCATTCTACCCCTGAGGGAGGCAGCAGGGACTGAGGGCATAGTCTGAGTCTATGCCCCACTCTCTAAGTCCAGCCTCACAGATTGAGAGGCATCTCAGGTTTTTTTCCCACTGATCTTGAGGATGGCCCTCAGACCCCGGTCCAAGATCTAGTGAACATGGCCTTGAAGATTTTAATGCCCGTGAGGAGCAGGCACAGTCACATCGGGAGGCCTGACTTTGACAGAAGGTAGACCTGCAAACTCAAGCCTGGTGGCAGCCCTGCGGCTGATGGCAGCCGCCATGGCCCCAAGGGGGCTGTGCATGGTGGGGGTGCAACAAAAGGAACGCCACCCAGAGAATGCTTCAAATGCGGAAATGAAGATCACTGGGCAAAGCAGTGCCCCTGGCACCAGGCTTCAACCAAGCCCTGCCCGGCGTGTGGTCAAAGTGGCCACTGGAAAAGCGACTGCCCCTAGAAAAGTGGCGGGCCCTCTGCGCCCCAGCATGGAGTGGCCGCCCTTCCAGGTCATGACCCGCCGCTGGCCATGCTGGGACTGGCTGAAGACTGAAGAAGCCCAGCCTTGACGGCCCCCACCACCCTCGCCGAGCCCAGGGCTGTGCTGAAGGTAGTGGGTCTCCTTCCTGGTCGACACGGGGGCTGCCTTCTCCGTCCTGCCCTCCTTTTCAGGGCCCCTTTTTCCTTCCACAATCTGGTCATGGGTATTGACGGTAAATCCACCTGCCCGCTGACCACTGGACCCCTTCCCTGCCTCCTTGATGATAGCCCTATAACCCACTTGTTCTTAGTTATGTTTTCATGCCCCATTCCCCTGTTAGGACGAGATATTCTCACCAAATTAGCAGCCACTCTGCAGCCCACTTGGAGCCCTTCAGCCTCCCTGCTCCTTCCGCTCCTGGCCCCCTCCCTTCATGGGGATGCCGATCCCCCACTACCATGCGTCCTCTTATGGGACCCTGCTGTCTCAGACCACAGTCATCTACCTCAGTCTTGCTGTGAACGCCTTATCTCCTCCACGACTGTCCCCTCCTCTGAACAAGAAATGTTCTCCTTCCTCAGGCTCACTGGGTACTCTCACCTCCGGGTTCACAACTGTAGTCTTCTTGACATAACTTGGGTGAAGGAACCCCCTCACTGAGCCCATAGATCCCAAGGCCAACATCCTCACTCCTTTAATGCTCTGAGAACTGCTCTGACCTCGGCGGCTTCTCGCTCCATCCCCCTTCACCCTTCCCAAAGGAAACTTCCTTGAATGCACAGGTTTATTCAACAGTCCAGCTATTATCAGAAACTGATTTCATTATCTCTAGGAAAAAATGCAGCAACTTTAAAATCCAAGTGGCTAGAGGCCTGGGAACAGGCTGCGAGACCTGCTCCCTCCCTCCCCCTGCCTTTTCTCCAGCCTCATATCCAGGTCCCTGGCTTCCACTGCTCCTTTCCTTCCCTTTCTCTTTTCCCTTGGATAACAGTGCATTCTAACATTTCCTCCCACTTTTACTGTATTACCTACCTTTCTCAGGCTCACCAAATGCCTCCCACTATCCCTGAAGAAGATTCGGTGACACCATCCAGGACCTGATGACCCATCATTCCTCATAGGTTCTTACCTGGCAAGGGACGCTCCAATTTTTACTCCGGAAAAAGCTCAGGTTTTTAATATTTTGAGGTGAAACTGACATGGAATGATGAGGGAGTCATCAATTCTACTATCTGGGATGGGAAATCCTCTAGTGTCACTCTCTATTTACGAACCCTGGACCTACTCCTATGCCCACCCTCAACACAACTTTCCATCTACTCTCTAACATCAATCCCTCCTCCTCTACATCCTGCTGGATTTGTCCATCACTGGCTCGAACCCTCATCATAGCCACTCAATTCCAACGTATTGGACCATCTAACTAAACTCTCTATAGAAATTCACAGCTCCTGACCGGACCTCCTGCCCATGGCCCTGACCAGAATCCGGGCTACACCAAGGAGCCCCACCTTTTTAAACCCTTTTGAACTCCTATATGGGAGACCCTTCTTGCTCAACCACCGTCTCCCTGCTGATCCTCCTCCCCTGGGTACGTATCTCCCATATCTGTCCTTATTCAGGCAGCTACTCCAAGAACATGCGGACAGGTTTCTGCCCAAGCCAGAGCCGACCCACCAGGACGCCCGAGGACCAGCCCTTCACCCTGGTGACTCAGTCCTCCTTAAGAATCTACATCCAAAAGCCTTGGAGCCTAGGCGGACGGGACCTTACACTGTAATCCTTACAACCCCCACCGCGGCCAAGCTGCTCAGCGACCCATCATGGCACCACCTCTCCAGGCTCAAGAGGACCCCGGAGCAGCGTGACTTCTATACATGTGAGGTGTTGGGCCCCACTAAGGTCTGCCTTAGTCGCCCTCCCCCTCCTCTTTTTCCTCCCAGCCCTGAGCAACCTACACCAACCCCCACCTGCTTATGTGTGGAGGTTCAAGGTCCATGAAACCTACTACCAGACAGCAAACAAGTCACCCAACGGGACCCAGACAGGTGTAATCAAGATGTTGACACCTATGGGGGTTGCCTCTGGAGAGACTATGTTGTCCATGATGCCTACAGGGGTGGCTCCTTTGTCTGGGAGAATGGGGCCTTCAACATCATAGTCCTGGATCCCTGGGACCAGTGATGGGTTACGGGTGTTGTGGGAAAGCTATACTGGAATAGTTGGAGCTCAACCCCTTCAGGGACCATTTACATCTCCCGGGAATATGTCTTGGCCCAAGAGGCCCAAATCCAGGTCTCCAACAGAATCCTACAGGCCGAACAGTCCCTTAAAGGGAAGCTGCCTGACTCCCCCCGGGTAGAAGTCCTATCTTCTTGGCTCTGACTTATTCAACACACTCTACTATTCCTCAACAAAACCCACACCTTGCCCAATGTTTCGCACTGCTTTCTATGTGCCTCTCTCCAAAGGTCTTTGCTGGCTGCCGTCCACTCACGACTTCTCCAAGAACCCAGGGGCAAGGTGAATGTCAGCCTCCCGTGGCTGGCATTCCCCTTTGGGAACCTGAAACTCCAGAGCCCACCCTGCCCCCACTGATATGCTACCAGACCAGTAATCCGGTAACTGGCGGACAAGTCACTTGGAACTGTACCCAAAACCACACCTCAGCCAGTCCCACCAAGGCCAGCCCGGGTCCCTTCAACTGCATAAACTCCTTTGACCCCAGGCCTTGCTTCGTGGTCACAGTAGTTCCCCAACTAACCTTGTATGGAGAGTCGGAGCTCGCCTGGCTGCTCCCTCCATCCTGCCCCCGGACCTGCCGGGCCACCTTCCTCCCTGTCATGTTAGGGGTGAGTATTGCTGATAGATCCTCCCTTCCCCCAACTGGTGGGCGGAGTATGATGTAACCTGCAGCCCAGAAATACCTGAGTGACTAACCATGTACCTTATATGGACTATATATTGGACCACCAATCCACACCTGCCAAATACCCTAAGCCCTTCTCCTATATGGACAATGCAGTAAGCCACCAATCAGTGTGGGCCGAGTACACTAAGCCCCCACCCCTTCCCAGTCCACCCCTCAATAGGCGTGCCCACCCTTGCACGTGCTGCTATTCTCCCCTTGCGAGACAGCCCGGCAGGCCCTTCTCCTCTAAGAAAGCCTGTAGTCCTGGTTTTCGGCCTCTGTCTGATCTTTCAATCACTACCTCGATAGGCCTCACTGGGGGGCCCTCGGGAACAGTCTGGTCACTGCTCAGGACTTCAATGACAAGCTCCAGTTAGCCCTGGAGTCTACTACCGCCTCTTTTAGTTTCCCTACACGGCAAGTGACATCAGTAGCCCAGGTAGCCCTACAGAACCAGCGCACCACAGACCTTCTGACTGCAGAAAGAGGAGGAACCTGCATATTCCTTCAGGAAGAATGCTGCTACTACATCAATGAGTCCGGAGTAGTGGAGCAAAACGTACAGACCCTGACTAAGCTGAGTGAAGAACTACATGCAAGACACGCCAGGGACAACTCTTTTTGACTAGTTCCAAAACCCCCTAGCTACCTGGGTCCTGCTCATGATAGGGCCCCTGATTCTCATCTGTGTCTTTTTTCTCCTAGCTCCCTGCCTCCTCAAGTACATCCGCTCCTGGATCGCAGAGATGTTACAGGTGACTGTGAATCAGCTCCTGCTTCATCTCTACACTCGGCTGCCCTTCGAACTGCCTCTGCCTGACCCTGGCTTTTAACCCTCCCCCCCCCCCCTCGTCGTCCCTGGTCAGCTGGAAGTAATCAGAACGAGTCGGCATCCCCTATCACTAAAACGCCAGGATGTTAGGTCGGAGGGAGCCCAGGATCAGATGCAGGCAGATGTGGGACAAGAAAATGGACCCTCCCTGGAATTTCTAACAGATCAGCATGCCAGACACAGATACTGGCTTCTTCCTGAATCCACAACGACCCCCACACAGATACTGACTCCTTCCTGAATACCCTGCCAACCCCCTGCAGCGGGAACTTCCTCAGTTCATATCCCCGCCCCTCACTCAACCACAGTATAGAAAAAGCGCCCCCCTCCCTGTTGGCGTGAATCCACTGGCCCTGTCTTTGGGGTTCATGGGTCTCCCAGGGACACAGATTAAAACCTTCCCTTTTCTTTCTTTTCTGATTGACTCAGCTCTCTTTATTTCCTACGCCGCCTCCTGAGCCACCTGACACCGGCCACACACCGGGTGTCATCACCCTCCCTGGGAGACCCACCCGGACCCTCCCCAGTACCTGGGTCACCACTGACGCCACACACTCGCTGGAAGGAGTCCTCTGGAGCAGCCACTTCCCAAGTCCTGGGCAGGACTCAAGTAGAAATGAAACTGCCTGTGGTGGGGGACGGGTGCTGCTGGGTTTGGGGAGGAAACCAAGAAATGGCCCTAAGGGTTTGCAGATGGCTGGGCTGGGCCTGGCAGGGCGGGGAGTGGTGGGAAGAAGTCCTTCTTTTACAGCCAAGAGGAAAGGGGACAAGTCCTCACCTGGACCTGGGCTCTGGGCCAGCAGGAGCGTCTGAGGTCGGGGAGAGGCACAGCCTGTTATGCCCAGATTTCAGGATCCCCAAAAGTCCACCAGGGAGCCAGCCGAGTCCGATGCAAAAGCAACAGAGTCTTTATTCGAGCTAGCTCGAGCTCCCCGTCTACCACACTCGCTGACGCAGTGGCAGGAGGCAGAGAGAGACAGCTCTGTGGGGAGAGGGGTTTTATAGGGGGGTTGGAGTAAGGGGAGGAGAGAGGACTGTGGGCCCTGCCAATTGGCCAGGCGCAAGTCTGGGTCTTGTTACACAGGATGTGGTTGTGTCTATGGCACGCACTTCCCTTGATTATCGTTGGTTAGTTTAAAGAAATCCTAGGTGTGGCTAGCAGAGGCTTGGGCTTCCGGGAAGAAGCTCCTTGCTGAGAACATGGCTAATGGCTGCTGCCCAAAAATGGAGGATCCGGGGCAAGATGGAGGGTGTAGCCCTCGCCCTTTCACAGCCCACAGGCCCGACTGCAGCTCCTCTTGCCATGGCCACTGACCAACCCCCCCAAGGACCATCAGCTTCTGGGCGGATGTTATTTTATTTTTTGCTATTTTTTAGGTCCCTATTCTTTCATCACTGCTCTGAAGGGGGCGGTGGAAAGGGCTGGTGACCTCCGCCCTCATTCTCCCCCTCGGTGTCGCTCTGCAGGGTCAGACACTGGTCAGCATCACCACCAGTCAGCACCCAGCTGGGAGCCGGGAGCCATGGGAGGCCCCAGGCCACCGTAGTGATGGGGAAAATAAGACATTTTGGGGGAGGGGGCAATCTGAATCTGTGCCAGTAACCCAATGTACATTCTCAATAGCCGAAAATTAAGTCACTGCTCCTTTCTCCACAATCTGGTCTTTCAAGACAAGACTGGTTTACCTAAATACGCACAAACCATGAACCATACACAACCCCCGGAGGGGATATCAGTGCTGACGCCAGGCCAGACCTTTGGATGTGGTCTCCTGGCCCCTATCCCAACACACTGGGCCTTTTGCAAAGCCTGTGAAAGGTCCAGAAGTCCCACCCATATTTGGGGGACAAGGAAACTAAAGGGAATAAAGGAAGAGCTTCCTCCATATTGGCTGGCTCAGGATTTGGAGAGAAGCAGTCTCCCCTGAGTCCTGTACTAGTACATGTGAAACATCTGAAAATAAAGGAGTTTTTCCTGTGTCTCCAAGGACTCCTGTGTATTCTTCAGTCGCCTGGCAAATTCTGTAACAGTGGGGTCGGCACTTAGAGCAAAAGGACTGCACGGCCCAGCCGGTGTGTCTCAGTGGTTGAGCATCCACCTACCTACAGGCCCGGGTTGTGGGCTCGATCCCCAGGGTGGGGCGTGCAGGAGGCAGCTGGTCAGTGATTCTCTCTCACAATTTTCTTCCACGTCCCTGACGGCGCTTCTCAAATGAATCCGCGTATGAAACTGATCCCAGTGCTGAGTGTGCCCGTGGGTCAGGGTGGGCCGGGCTCTCCCATTTCTATGTGTGTGTGTGTGTGTCTGTACATATACACACATACATGTACATGTCTACACATGCACCATAGGTAAATGTACACGTGTATATTCACACACATAATTCTACATGTATAGGCTATACGTGTTGGGCTTTTTATAGTTATCTTTTTGTTTAGTTTTATAATTTTTAAAATTTTTATTTTTTAAATATATTTTTTATTGACTTCAGAGAGGAAGGGAGAGGGAGAAAGAGATAGAAACATCAGTGATGAGAGAATCATGGATTGGCTGCCTCTTGCACGCCACCTACTGGGGATCAAGCCCATAACCTGGACATTTCCCTTGACTGGAGTTGAACCCGGCACCCTTCAGTCTACAGCAGCCGTGGGCAAACTACGGCCCGTGGGCCAGATCCGGCCTGTTTGAAATGAATAAAACTAAAAAAAAAAAAAAGACCGTCCCCTTTTATGTAATGATGTTTACTTTGAATTTATATTAGTTCACACAAACACTCCATCCATGCTTTTGTTCCGGCCCTCCGGTCCAGTTTAAGAACCCATTGTGGCCCTCGAGTCAAAAAGTTTGCCCACCCCTGGTCTACAGGCTAATGATCTATCTGTAAGGTCTGGGGCTGGGAAAATAGGGTCTTTCCTGATCCCACCAGCTGAGTTGGACAAAACAACCCAGAACTGCCGAGCCACATCCTGCTGGACAATAGCTGCCATCCTGGGACCCACCAGAGCATCCTGTTGTGCTGACGGCCAATAAATAACCACCGGAGACTTCTCAAGAGGGCCAGGGTGCAGCTGCACCAACTTCCCACTCATCAATCACCCGCCACAAGCTACCTCAGATAAACCTGATTGGTCCAACAGCAGCATAAAAAATCTCTGCCAGGCATAGGCGGGTGTGACTCCCCCGGCCTGCACCTCCAGACCGTGGGACCTCACCCGAGAGCTTCCAATAAACGCGATATTTCGCTCTTACCCTGCTTGTCTTGGTCAATTTATTGGCTTTGGTCAGATTAAATCTTAAATCTCAGATTAAACCTTACATTAAACCTAACACTATCCACTGAGCCAAACCAGCTAGGGCAGTTTTATATATTTTTTTTTTACCACCTTTATAGGTGCCTAAGTGTTGCTAGGGACTGATAAAAACTCCTTTCTATCTCTGTTCCTGACTAAATACTCTACTTTTGGAAAAAGCAACTGATTTTTTAAAATAACTGTTTATCATGTTTCCAGCCAGTTCACCAAATTCCCTTCACGCCTTCCACACCCGGCGGCTTCCCAGGTTACTGACTCATTCCCTTCCTGCGTTACTGACCCATTCATGCCGCCTCCTACAGGAAGGCCTCCGCTGACCCCTGTGCTTGGCAGGGTCCCTACTGAATTGTTTGTTTCCTTGACTTCCCACCCCAGTGTGTCTATACGTCCTGCCTCACGCCGTGGACTCTGAACTCTGTGGAGTGAAAGGTCAGCGATTAAACACATTGCTACTCTCAGAAGCCAGCTCCGTGCCTGGAGCACAATAAATTCTATAAAGAAGAAAAGAGGGGAATTGCCCTGCTCCGACTGGAAACAGCTGCTTAAACCAGGCCAGAGAGATCTAGTTTTTAAGAGACTCGCTCATCTGTTCTGCTACATCACTCTTGATATTTATAAATTACAGACACCTGTTTGTTTGTTTTATTTTAAATATATTTGTATTGATTTCAGAGAGGAAGGGAGAGGGAGAGAGAGACAGAAACATCAATGATGAGAGAGGATCATGGACCGGCTGCCTCCTGCACGCCCCACACCGGGGATGGAGCCCGCAACCCGGGCCTGTGCCCTGACCGGGAATCGAACCCTGACCTCCTGGTTCCTAGGTCGATCCTCAGCCACTGAGCCCCGCCAGCCGGGCAACTTCTCACTTCTTGACGACTCACTTCCATGAGCACATGTATCTCATTTGATTTGCTCATTGACCTCAGCTGAGCGTGATAACCCTTCTTTACTGACATAGAAATCAGCCCAAAGAGGCTCCGTGACGCGCCCGAGGCCACAGAAAACACTAGAAGGCGGGCTTGGCCTCCCCTCGCCCAGCCCCAGGCCGCCTTCCCTTCAGGAAAAAGTCTTGTTGATGTTTTCGGCTCTGGGCACAGTTCAAAGCAGAAAAACATGGTGCCATCTTCTGAGATGCACACCCTGCCAGTGAGAACGTGGACGTGAAGTTAAAAATTAAGCTGCAAAGCCAGACCCAGGCTCCCGGCCTGCTGCCGTGGGCCTCCCACGTGGCTGGTGTTTGTCTTTGTAAAACGGCAGGACGTTGGGAAGGGGAGAGGGGACAGAAGCGACTCCACGGCCGCCTGGGTGAGGGCTTAGCAGACGGGTTAATGGTGAAGGTAAGCGCTTCTCTCCTCTCTGGGTCGGTGATAATCAGTCATGCACCAGAGGCCCATCCGAGGGAGGGAGTGGGTGAGGGGAAGTGGGAGAAAGACCCTGAACAGCAGCCTCAGGGCCTCCCTCTGGGGATGGTTTCTGGTTGCAAAATCAAGAAGAGACTTTCTGAAGAGCCCTGGCCAGTGTGCTCAGTGGATAGAGCGTCGGTCCCCGGACAGAAGGGTCCCGGGGTCGATTCCAGTCAAGGGCATCCATGTACCTGGGCGTGCAGGAGGCACCCATCAATGTGCCTTTCTCACATCGATGTCTCTCTCTGTCTCCCTCTCCCTTCCACTCTCTCTAAAAATCAATGGAAAAATAATCCTTAAAAAAAAAATTGAGGATTATCCAAACGATTTTAGAAAAATGAAAAAGGTGATCGATTCGATCAAGACCCTAGAGCAGGGCTTGGGGGCCACCAGGCCCAGGGGACACTGGGTGAGGGCGGCTCCTCTGAGGAGCCCTGAGTGCTAACTGGGACGCCGTGGCATGTGGACAGGCTTCGGCTGTGGAATAAAGCTCTGGATCCCAACTAACAAGGTTTGGAGTGGGGGCCTGGGAGGAAGGAGTCTTCAGATTTCTCTGCAGATTTGAAATGATCTTCCAGGGACAGAGAACAGGAACAACGTTGTAAGGCTGGAAGCAATAGAGCTTGGATGCTTGTACAGAGCACCTGCTCTGGGAGCTGAGGGCGCTGTCCAGAGAGACCCTGGCTGCTCCATGGGAAGGCAGGGGGGTAGAGGGGACAGGGGGCAGGGTGGGAAGAGACGCAGGGAAGGGACCTGAAGGACAGCACAGTTGGGCTCACGTTGGCCTGGAAGACGGGGCCCCAGGCTGTCACCCCGTAGAGGTGCCTGGGCTTCTGCCCATCTCCCGGGCTGGGTCAAGTTGCACCTGTTGTTGCGGTTAATCCTCACCTGAGGCCATTTTTCCATTGATTTTTAGGGAGAGTGGAAGAGAGAGGGAGAGACAGAGAGAAACACATCGATTGGTTGCCTCCTGCACGAGCCCCGACCAGGGCACGGGCTGGGGAGGAACCTGTAACCGAGCTACGTGCTCTCGTTACAACCCTTCTAGGGTTGCCCACAGACTTTATTCTTCAGGGTTAAATTGCTACAGGAACCGGTGGCATGATAGGAATCACCTGCTGGGATAACCAGTTTTATTTAGAATCTCCCGTCTTCTGAAAGGTGGGCAGTGGCACGAGCCCAGAAACAGTCACGTTTCCCCTTATTCCCTGAAGTTTGTGTCGAGTGGCATCCCTTGCTCACCCACCGTTTGAGGGAAAGAAAGAAAGAAAGAAAGAAAAGGAAGCCCTAACCGGTTTGGCTCACTGGATAGAGCGTTGGCCTGAGGACTGAAAGATCCCAGGTTCGATTCCGGTCAAGGGCATGGACCTTGGTTGCAGGCACATCCCCAGTAGGGAGTGTGCAGGAGGCAGCTGATCAATGTTTCTAACTCTCTATCCCTCTCCCTTCCTCTCTGTAAAAAACCAATAAAATATATTTTAAAAAAAATAAAGAAAAGGAAAAGTTTAAAGTGAAAAGTTTCCGGCCAATTGAACCATCAAAAGCATGTTTACAGTAACGTGTGTCCGCTGCGAGCCTCCCGCAGTCACAGCCCGGGTGCCAAGCTTGGGACTGTGTCCTCACTGCCGCCGTGAGCCCTCCTGGGTGAGGAGGCGCGTCTCAGACCCCCGTTCCCACGCACTGGCCCCCTGCTTCCCACGAAATGAGTGAAAAGGCTCCGGGAGCCCCAGGAACTGCTCTGGCTTTGTCCGACCTCGTTCCCAGAACGGCCGGGACTGGTCCCCGCGCCCTTCGACCTGCAGGTCCCTGCTCCTTCAGCCACGTGGACATTTACTCTGAGCAAACGAGGAGGCTCGCCAACAGGGTGACGCAAGGCAGCTGCATGTTAGGGGAGCCCTGAGGGCAATAACAACATGGCGATAGGAAATGGGCAGGGCCGGCCCGCGAGGCTCAGGGGGTGAGCCTCGACCTAGGAGCCAGGAGGTCACGGTTGGATTCCCGGTCAGGGCACAGGCCCGGGTTGCGGGCTCCATCCCCAGTGGGGGGCGTGCAGGAGGCAGCCGGTCCATGATTCTCTCTCATCATTGGTGTTTCTGTCTCTCTCTCCCTTCCTCTCTGAAATCAATAAAAACATATCTATAATAATAAAAGGGTAATATGCTAATTAGACCGGACGTCCTTCTGGACAAAGCCAGGGCTGGAGGGAATCCTGGGTCCCGGTGTCTGCCGTCAGCCTGAGGGAAGCAAGGCCGGGTTCTTGGTGCCAGAGGGAAGCCTGTGCCAGCAGCTGAGGGAAGGAAGGCCTACTCTTGCATGAATTTCATGCATCGGGCCTCTAGTTTTAAAATAACAACAACAACAAAACAAAGGGTTTGCTGATGCCGAGAGCAGGCAGCGGGAACGCGGGAAGTGATTGTGGGTCCTGCGTTGGCTTGTCCTCCCCTAGATCAGAGCCTGTCGCAGCGAAGGAGACTCAGGGCAGGGGTGCCTCTGCCCCCACGTGCGGAGCCGCCTCCCGGAGGAGCCCCATGGACGAGAAGCCGTCCGCCAGGAGAGGTAACGCCACCTGCCGGGCTGGCCGCTGCCGCGTGGAAGGGCGGACGGACGGGTGTCCCGCGTCCCCGGCACCTCCTCGCTCTGCTCCCCTCCTCCTCCCATCGCGCCTCCGTGGACAGTGGGACCCGCTCCAGCCCCTCACCCTGTCGCCTGTTGCTGCCTCTTCCTCAGGGAGCCCCACTGAGTTATGGGCCAGAAATTCAGCCCAGCGATCAGCGAGTCCTAGGACATAAGGAATGGAATGGGTCTGAAAAAGTCATTTTATAGAAACCCTCAGCTCGTGCATGAATTCCTGCGATGGTGTCCTTGCCAGGGAGCTGGCTGTGTCCCCGGAGCTGAGAATCTCCGGGAATAAGGAAACAATTCTTTTCCAGGCGACCCATCCCATCCCTGAGCCACCTGGCCATGAACGAGGATTTCTTCCACTATGCAGGGTGTCCCCCAAAATGCACACACACTCTAACATATTCAAAGTGCGTAGACATTTTGGGGGGACACCCTGTGTTCTCCTCTATTTCCTCCCAGGTTCTCTCTTGTTTCTCTTTAGTCCAAATTCTCCAAATATGCAAAAATATTTACGCTCAGGTGCGTGAATACGCTGGGTTGGGTAGAGCATCGGCCTGAGACCCCACGGTGGCCAATTCGGTCCCCTTCAGGGCCCATGCGAGAGCCACCTATGAGCGCATCCATAAGTGTCACGGCAAACCGGTGTTCCCCTCTCTCTACAAACAAACAAAAAAATGCCTAAAAAGAAGATCCTGGGTGTGTGACTACCTTCATTCAAAGGCAGCCGGCTGTCTAGTTGAAATTTTCAAGATTTTTTTGGTAAATGAATATGCAAACCAGATGGGGCTGACTGGCAGCTGGGGGAGGTGCTGTGGGCGGGCTCTGCCGCCCTCCCCCCCTCACTTCGTCTGGGAACAATGGGCATCAGTGCCACCATGAAGCTCGTTCTGTTTATCATCTGCTTCCCATCGTGGCTTTGCCTGGTGATGGGATCCCAGATTCAGGGCCTGAAGCCGACTAAAGGGAAGGACCGAGGAGGGTGTGAAAAGAGAGAGGGGGACTGTGGTGTTTTTGTTGTTGTTGTTTTTTTAAATATATTTTTATTGATTTCACGGAGGAAGGAAGAGGGAGAGAGAGAGAGAGAGAGAGAGAGAAACATCAATGTTGAGAGAGAATCATGGATCGCCTGCCTCCTGCACGCCCCACACTGGGGATCGAGCCCGAAACACAGGCAGGGGCCCCGACAGGGAACGGAACCCCGACCTCCTGGTTCATAGGTCGATGCTCAACCGCTGAGCCACGCCGGCCGGGCCTGCGGTGTGCTTTTCACTGGGAGGAGCGATCGCCGCCAGGAGCCCCCACTTTCCCCCCGTCCTTCCCAGGCCCGGACTTCTGCTCCTTGCGCTACGGGCTGGCGGTGGTCATGCACCTCTCCAACCTCAGCATGATCACCCAGCGCGTCAGCCTCAGCATCGCCATCATTGCCATGGTCAACAGCACCCAGCAGCCCGCCCCGGCCAACGCCTCCGCGGACGGCCCCCTCCAGGACCCCAGCGGGCCCAGCGGGGAATTCCACGCAGGGGTGAGTGGGACAGAGAGCAGCCCTTTGTCGGGCGGGCATCCCCAGTGTGAAGGGAAGGCTTCGATCTCAAATCTGTGGATGGATTTCTTTTTATTTTATTTTTAAAATATATTTTTATTGATTTCAGAGAGGGGAAGGGCGGGGGAGAGAGAGAGAACCCGGGCCATTATTTACTTTAAGTGGACAGTATTCTACAGTCATGCTGTTTGTACCTCCATGTACACCAGGATGTTTCCTGTCCAGCGGCCACCACCAGCCATTTATCGTGTCGCCTCGGGAGAGGAAGGTGGCCGCACTCCTGGTCTGGGAAGCCAGTTCTGCGCAGGCGGCCATCGCTCCTGACCTGCTGTTAGGGACTGAGTGGATGGGGGCCCAGGAACGCTGGTCTCCCTTACCCTTTGGAATGAGGGTCCGCATGTCACCCAACTTTGACCAGAAGCAAATAGTGCAAGGGAGCTCTTCTGCCGATGGAATCCCTCTCACCGTCTCCTTCGCTGACCCCTCCGGCCGCCCGTTTGTGCAACCCTTTCTTCATCGCTTTTCTCCTTCGCACCTTCTGCCTTTCCTTCCTCGGAGAGGAGCAAAGGAGGGTTCTAACCGGTTAGCTCAGGGGATAGAGCATTGACCTGCGGACTGAAGGGTCCCAGGTTCGATTCCCGTCAAAGGCACGTGCCCGGGTTGCTGGCTCGATCCCCAGTAGGGAACGTGCAGGAGGCAGCCAATCAACGATTCTCTCTCTTCATTGATGTTTCTCTCTCTCTCCCTCTCCCTTCCTCTCTGAAATCAATGAAAATATATTAAAAATAATTAGGCATATAATTAGTCTGTTTGGAAACGGTGGGATATTTAAGCTAGACTTTAAAAAAGAAAAAAGAGAGAGAAACCTCATGTGACCTTCCATGGAGGCCGCCAACCACAGCGCTCCAGCTGGGAAGCCCCGTTCTCAGCCACGAATTTCCCTTTTCTCCTCTTCTTCCAGACCTCCGTCTACGCATGGAGCCCCGAGACCCAGGGCCTCCTCTTCAGCTCCATCAGCTACGGGATTTTGCTGACTCTGATCCCCAGCGGATACCTGGCGGGGATATTTGGCGCCAAGCACATGCTGGGGGCGGGGCTGCTGGCCTCCTCCCTGCTCAGCCTCTGCACGCCGCTGGCCGCTGACCTGGGTGTGAGCTTGGTGATGGTGATTCGCGTCGCCCAGGGCATGGCCCAGGTACCCGGAGGCGCCCTCCCGGGGGGGAGGGGGCAGGGGACGGACTCCGGAGTCCTGCTGGTGAGCGAAGGTCTGAACGGTGTTCATTTCAGGGAATGGCATGGACAGGTCAGTTCACCATCTGGGCGAAGTGGGCGCCCCCGCTGGAGCGCAGCAAGCTCACCAGCATCGCGGGCTCTGGTAAGGGTTCCCACGCGGGTCACAGCCCTGTGACCGGCCTCCCCCTCCCCCGCCTTCCCTTGGCGGCATCGGACGGTTTGGGGGAGAGGGATTACAGTTCTCCCATCGATAACCCACCAATAATGATAGAGAGTCATCAGTCGGCTGCCTCCTGCACCCCCCACACTGGGGATGGAGCCACCACCCGGGCATGTGCCCTGGCGGGGAATTGAACCGTGACCTCCTAGTTCATAGGTTGGTGCTCAACCACCGAGCCACGGCGGCCGGGCTAAATTTATTGTTTCTTTGTCTAAAAGTAGAAAGGCCTCCTGCTTTGGTCACTTCTTTGAGTCTCATAGTTTCATGGGCTCTTGTATGTACAAAATTAAATTTGTTTTGCTCCTGTTAAAAAAAAACAAACAAGCCCTAACTGGTGTGGCTCAGTGGATAGAGCATCGACCTGTGGACTCAAGGGTCCCAGGTTCTATTCGGTCAAGGGCATGTACCTTGGTTGCGGGAACATCCCCAGTAGGGAGTGTGCAGGAGGCAGCTGATCGATGTTTCTCTTTCAACGATGCTTCTAACTCTCTATCCCTCTCCCTTCCTCTCTGTAAAAAATCAATAAAAATATATTTTAAAAAAACTTTAAAAAAACAAATTCTTCTCCCAAATCCAACACTGGGAGACGGTTACGTAGAAAAGAAACGCATGAGGCTCGGCACAGAAAAGTCCACTGTGAGCGACAAGAGCACCTGGGGGGGGGG